ATAATAAAGTCGACATTTCATTTGAAAAAGGTATTTTTTTTAAGCTCACCTGGTCCAGCGTCCGTTCGTCTGTGAACTTTTCCTTTCAAACGCTACTTGTCCTGAACGGTCCAGTATATTTTGACTAAATTTAGTCTGAAGCATCCTTAGGCCAATGTGACCCGATTTTGTATAAACAGTGGGTGTGCCCCCCTGGGGGCAGATGGGCAGGCCCCAATAGGGGAAATAGAGGTAAAACCTTTAAAATCCTTCTCCTATCTTGGCGATTAAGGGATTTTATCCTAATTTAGTCTGGAACATCCTTGGGCCAAGGTGACTCAAGTTGTATAACAGTGGGTGTAGCCCCCTTTGGAGCAGAGGGACGGGGCCCAATATCAGAAATAAATTTAAACCTTTAAAATCCCTTTTCTACCATAGCGATTAAGGGATTATATCCTAATTTAGTCTGGAACATCCTTGGGCCAGGGTGACTCAAGTTGTATAACAGTGAGTGTACCCCCCTGGGGGCAGAGGGGCGTGCCCAATAGAGGAAACAAAGCAAATTCTTCAAAATCCGTCTTCTGTAAGAATGACAGACTTTTGTCCAATTTTGGTAGGAAGCACCTTTGGGTGAAGGGGAACCCATTTTGTATAAAGGGTGGGTCTGACCCCCACCCCACCCCCGGGGGTAGAGAGGCGGTGGCCCAATATGGGATATAGAGGAATAGCGTTAATATCCTTTTTCTTCCGTTGGGATGAAGGTATTTTAACCAAATTTGAACAGTAGCATCCTATGGGGGAGGGAAATCAATTTTGTATAACTTGTGGGTCTAACCCACCTAGGGCCTGCGGGGTGGGGCCAGATAGGGGTTATTTAGCAAATTCTTTAAAATTCTTCTCCTGTAGGAATGACAGATTTTTGTCCAAAGTTGGTATGAAGCACCCTTGGGTAAAGGGAAACTCATTTTGTATAAAGGGAGGGTCTGACACTTGGGCCCAATAAGGGATATAGAGGAATAGCGTTAATATCTGTCTTCTTCTCTTTGAATGAAGATATTTTGACAAAATTTGAATAGTAGCATCCTATGGGGAAGGGAAATCAATTTTGTATAAATGGTGTTTGAACCCCCTGGGGTAGAGGGGCGGGGCAAAATAGGGAAAATAGCAAGATAGCTTTAAAATCCTTCTTCTTCTGTAGGAATGACAGGAGTTTTTTCCATGTTTGGTCTAAAGCATCCTTCGGTGAAGGGGACTTAAATTTGTATCAACGGTGGGTCTGACCCCCTGGAGGCAGAGGGGCGGGACCCAATAGTGGAAACATAGCAAATTTTTCAAAATCCTAATTTTCTTTAGAAATGACAGGATTTTGTCCAATTCCATATATATATAATCCTTGACTAACCATGTAATACATGTACACTACCAGCAACATCTAGCTATTCCAACTTCAATTTTGCTCACATTTATCATGAGAGCGATACAAGCCCTCTAGGCCTCTTGTTTTCATTGAAACTGATGTAATTACAAACAAGATTTTATTTTTGTTACATGGAACTGACATTAATATGCCATTGGACTCTATATTTCAGATAATTTATAAAAATCGGTCATTTTCACGGTTGACTGCGGCGTAAAAGTTTTACCCCTTGAAATATACAGTATCGACGATTTCTAAGTTATCAAAATATTACATTCTTTTTCTCAATGTCAGATTTGAAAAAGAATGTTTGAAAATATTGTATAATTTAAAAAAATAATAATATATAAACTAATGCGTTAAAGAGATATTAAAGTATCTTTATATTCCTGGTACATTTGTACGGGGTTTTAGTCCGGGACCGGAAACGGCATACAAGATTTACCTACCACCAAAAATAAGTCCAGAATTTATTCATGCCTAATTTGTCAATGTCTAATCAAAGCTAAATTTTGCTTTTTCAAAAGGGAAGAGATTTTAAACTAATATTTTTTTTTTTAATTTCCAAAATGTTGGATTACTACAATTTGGACTAAACGTTATAAATATATTATCATTTTGGTGTCAGATCTATGTGCGTGACACAACTTTCAATATTGACGTCGACAATCTTCCGCGATAAAAACATGTTTGAAAAGGGGAAATAAAAAGATCAATAAGAAGTAAAACAGATGTTTATTTGGATTGTTTTGCCAACCTGAATACTGAAGTCAAGATACATTGAATTGTATCTACTGTAAATATTAGTTAACGACAAGTGGAGTCAGGATTCGTCTTAACCACTACACATAGTATACAGTACGGCCTTGGAAAATAGTTCACCAGCTTGGAAAAACTACTTTGACTCTTGACTGAAAGGGCAGGAACTAACTGTTTTGTTACTTACAAATATCTGTATGGACTACATTTGTTTTCAACAAATTCCAGTAAACCCTGCTCTGATATTTCTTGAAAACATTCTCTTAGAGCGACAGTCATGTTCGGGAACGTCTGCTCTTAAACAAACGACGTCAGTGTTCACTAAGAGCTTTAATCGAGATCAAATACATGCTTGGACGCGTTTGTGGTAAGGAAACGTGTGTTAGTTCGAAAGCTTCCCATGAAAATAGTTTTGACTTATTCATGGCTGTATATGAATTACGCTATTTTCACTCTGAATATAGTCAAATTGTTTTATTGCTTTTCATAGAGAGAGTCAGGCAACAACACAAGCTATAAGATGTCGGTTCCGTGAACTCGCCTGTGTGAAGTAGCGTTATCAAACACAGTTAAGTGTCCCAACTATTGAGATAAATGTCACTCAGCGTACACACTGCGGCCAGTTATCTTCCCCTGTAATCCTAGAGTACACATTGTCCACGTTACTCTGTATCAATGACGTATCTGCTCAGTTGTCTGTCGTTCCTGACAACCTCAGCCAACCCGAGCTTAACCCTGTAACAACGATGTCCAGCATACCCCGTCTCTCCATCCCTGTAGGCCCTGTACCTGCTGTTAAGTATTGTGTGTATGATTGTGTAAATAGTCGGAGATGATGGTAAACTAAACAAGCGTTACCAATAATGATAAAATATAAAATATTAGTTTATTTTTTGTATATTTACATTTGCTCTGCATCCTTACATTGCAATGCATCGATAAGGCAAATGTTGTTATAAGACTATAACAACATTTGCTATTGTAACGTCATCAATCTCTATTTTAACTTCATCGATTTCATTGTTGTCAAGACCTGATTTACTGTTCAAAGAACTGTTCGAAATAACTAAATAAAGCATAATTACTTTATTATGAAAATGTAAATATAAACAATCAATACTTTAGCAAATATTGTTATGGTCCTTTAACACACAATATCCGGGCTTTATTAAGTTTGTCATCAATAGCAATGTGTGTTATAGGACCATAACAACATTTGCTAAAACATTCATTGCTTAATTCGTATTTTACTGAACCGGGTGTTTGTAGTGTAGTTTTTAATACATATATTCAACGACACATTTACAACTAATGGTTCAAGTATAACATCCCACACTTAAATTATATAGAATAATTAAGGATTTAGTTTCACCCTCTGTTTTCTGGTTTCGCGTTGTTTTATGCTTACCCGTTTGTCACGAGAAGATATTTATGTTATCATTTGAAAATTTTGTCAATGATTTTGTTAATGTCAAGCTTATTATATAATTATCATGTTTCTTTCTTTGTTTCGGATTTAACGTCCCCATTGCCCCATTGCCCCTAGGGCAATACTTTGTATCACAGGGACATGCTAATGTGTAACAGCTATATTTGGACATAAACTGAGGTGTTGAGAATACTTTTGCCATTTTTGGAGTTTAGATTTATATTTTCGGTAAAATGCTTCCCTTCCCCTAACCCTCCCCCTATGATGGTATATACGACACATCGACCCAAATTACTTTCTTGCTTTAAAAACCACATTTTGATGTACACAAATGCTTCTTACCGTCGGAAAGACTAATTTTGTGTTGTTGAAACTACGCAAATTGAATTATCTTTCCTGTGACATTATCTCTAATCACAGAGTCACTTTTTCCATATTCATGCTTCTGCATATATGACTGTGATTGTTGTGGAGAGCTTAACACTTAAACAAACAAATCTCCATTTAGTTATACGACAGATTTAGATTCCTATAATGTGAATTATTTTCCTTAAAAATATACTTAATTTATGTGTCTGCAGTATGTGTGTGAAGTCCGATAAATAGTTAAAAATAAACGTCATCTGTAGAATACATCGACAGTGGTCTCAGATTACGGTATAAATACCGATACAGTCCCTGTGAACAGGCAAGCTATCTGAAAACGGAGGGGGATAGTTTATCTATACCAGGGTCATTAATCAGCTCGGCCTATCACAGAGCTACGGGAAATGACGTCACTGTTCTAGGCCATTTCTCGTGCTATCGTATCCGTAGATAAGGTACAAGTGTTGATAATGATCGAAACTCCGTACAAATGGATCGGGGACGACTAATTCTACAAATTCTATTTAAGCATCAATGATAACATAGTTTACCTGTGCTAACTTCATGACGTCATCGTATATTTAGTGTTACAGAAAAGGAATTATACATGGACTCTTCCTGTCGTTTTAAAGTTATGTAGTTCTGTTATTTTTTCCGTTTAAAAAATAGAGAAGGCTAAACAGTTTATTGTGAAAAAGTAAATCTATAAAGTTGCTTTTAAAATTGGTTAAATATACAGAATGCTAAATAGGAAATCATCTAGGACTCGTCGGTGAGGCTAAGGACCGAAAGGTGTGAAATCTAAATTGGTCCACGCTACTGTTGAAAAAGAAAGGTGTGTGTGTTGTGTCAAGTTTCAAACGTTTTGGTAACTCCCATTGATTAAGTTTTCGGCATCAAATCAGCGCTATCACAAGAAAGCAAGTACACCAACATACCTACCCCAGCACACACGAATACATGCATACATATAGGACGTCCTTCAATGACCTTAGCTGATAATAGGACGATGAATCAAATAAAAGCATACCAAATCCAAGCTTGACTTACCTTCAGACTTCTGGACACCCCTCCTGTGTTCACCACCATTGGATGACGTCAGAATTTCAGGTAATTTCCTTGACTTAAGGATGACAACTGCTTCTCGCGTACCCAGAAGAATCTCGAGAGCGCTTTGTAAGTCTTCTAGATAGGTAAAACGAACAGCTCTGGGGCCGTTCCGAACCTCTTGAACAGGAACGTTTAACTTAATGTTCACTTTCTTCCAGCTCGATGTAGCGTCTTTCAAAACACGCAAAGTTTCCTTTGTATCTTCTGTCGTTTCAGGTCTTGTTACATCATGACTCGTCCGTCGGTAAAACTCACTTTCTGAAAAACTATTCTCTCGCTTCAGATATTGCGGCACCGCGAAGCTTGCACGTCGAAGCGAAGGCCCGGGCTTTCTTTCTGAAGAGGCTTTCCTACTTTCAACTATAGAGGTTTTCCGGGATCCGATTGACTCCACCGAATCCTGACTGTCCCTTGATTTACTGAAGCACATCATGGAGTTCCTCCTCATTGTCATTCTGGGGCCTCCCTCGTCCTCGTCTATACTCTTGTCCTGGGGCGGCGGAATGTTATCTAGCATGGCATACGTTTTCCTTCGTTCTTTCAATGATGCTCTTCCGTTTTCGTTACTTTTCGTGTTAGGTGACGTTACTTCCGGTACAAAACTAGTACATTCGGTTTCGTCCGACTCCGATATAACAGAACATGCTTTCTGTAAAGATTTCACTCGATCCATTGCTGCCAACCCGACATTATCCAGGCTCCCGTTCGAGTTAGTACTACCGAACATGTCAGACGTTATATCATAGTGTGACATTTGACCCGACAAATTACCATTTTTGCATCCTCGGGCTTCACTGCTAGCATAACAGGGTCTCTCTTCACATTCGGTCCTCTCGTCATTCTGTTCGTCCAAATTATGTTTGGTCCCGTTTAAAACTAAAGTATTTTCGCCGTACGGGCTTCTCAGCGTTGGCGATTCTTTCATACTGGTTGTTTGGGTCCTCCATCCGACACGATAATATTTATTGTTACAGCCCGCGCTGTTACTCCCCATGTCGTTCTCAACTTGACAGTTTTCCGATGACGTCTCGGGTAAAGCGTGGGCGCGCAGTCCGGCGTCCATAGTTACTGTATTCTGGCCAGGGTATGATAATCCAGTGTGGTGTTTACCTGTCAATTATCAAAGGAGTAGTGTGTTAAATTAGACAACATTGTTATCCTGTCCCATAAAATATCACTCCGGATTAAAATGTTAGCTTGTAGAATGTACAAATAACACGGCAGTATGAATACGCTTGTTCATTTTACACAAATAATACTGCAGCATGAATATTAGTTTAAAAAATAACAGTGCGAATACTGTATATTTCAAACAGTACGGCAGTACAAATACTCTTTGAATACTGTACATGTAAATACAAATAATATGGCAGTGCAAAAACTCAGTATCATATCTCACCCAGTAGAAATACTCTATATCATATCTCACCCAGTAGAAATACGCTATATCATATCTCACCCAGTAGAAATACTCTATATCATATCTCACCCAGTAGAAATACTCTACATCATATATCACCCAGTAGAAATACTATGTATCATATCTCACCGGTTTGAAATACTATGTATCATATCTCACCAGAAATACTCAATATCATATCTCACCTAGTAGAAATACTCTATATCATATCTCACCCAGCAGAAATACTCTATATCAAATCTCACTCAGTAGAAATACTCTATCTCATATCTCACCCAGTAGAAATACTCTACATCATATCTCACCATGTAGAAATACTCTATATCATATCTCTCCCAGTAGAAATCCTCGATATCATATCTCACCCAGTATAAATACTCTACATCATATCTCACCATGTAGAAATACTCTATATCATATCTCTCCCAGTAGAAATCCTCGATATCATATCTCACCCAGTATAAATACTCTACATCATATCTCACCATGTAGAAATACTCTATATCATATCTCGCCAAGTAGAAATACTAAGTATCATATCTCACCGAGTAGAAATACTCTATATCATATTTTACCCAGTAGAAATACTATGTATCATCTCTCACCGGTTTGAAATACTATGTATCAGATCTCACCAGAAATACTCAATATCATATCTCACCTAGTAGAAATACTCTATATCATATCTTACCCAATAGAAATACTCTATATCATATCTCACTCAGTAGAAATACTCTATCTCATATCTCACCCAGTAGAAATACTTTATTTCATATCTCACCCCGTAGAAATACTCTATATAATATCTCACCCAGTAGAAATACTATTATCATACATCACCCATTAGAAATACTCTATATCATATCTCACGCAGTAGAAATACTCTATATCATATCTCACCAAGTAGAAATACTCTATATCACATCGCAGCCAGTAGAAATACTCTACATCATATCGCACCCAGTAGAAATACTCTATATCAGATCTCACCCAGTAGAAATACTCTATCTCATATCTCACCCAGTAGAAATACTATATCTCATATCTCACCCAGTAGAAATACTCGATATCATATCTCACCCAGTATAAATACTCTACATCATATCTCACCATGTAGAAATACTCTATATCATATCTCGCCAAGTAGAAATACTAAGTATCATATCTCACGGAGTAGAAATACTCTATATCATATCTTACCCAATAGAAATACTCTATATCATATCTCACCAAGTAGAAATACTCTATATCACATCGCAGCCAGTAGAAATACTCTACATCATATCGCACCCAGTAGAAATACTCTATATCAGATCTCACCCAGTAGAAATACTCTATATCCTATCTCACCCAGTAGAAATACTCTATCTCATATCTCACCCAGTAGAAATACTCTACATCATATCTCACCATGTAGAAATACTCTATATCATATCTCCCCCAGTAGAAATACTCTATATCATATCTTACCCAGTAGAAATACTCTACATCATATCTCACCATGTAGAAATACTCTATATCATATCTCGCCAAGTAGAAATACTAAGTATCATATCTCACCGAGTAGAAATACTCTATATCATATCTCTCCCAGTAGAAATACTCTATATCATATCTCACGCAGTAGAAATACTCTATATCATATATCACCCAGTAGAAATACTATGTATCACATCTCACCGGTTTGAAATACTATGTATCATATCTCACCGGTTTGAAATACTATGTATCATATCTCACCCAGTAGAAATACTCTATATCATATCTCACCCAGTAGAAATACTCTATATCATTTCTCACCAAGTAGAAATACTATCCGCTTTAAAAAATAATGACAACAGTACACAAAAATAAAAAAAATATTCGATTGGGCGAACAGCCAAACGTACGTGCAATTACTTTCATCGAACTAAACGTTCAAATATAATCCGTGGACACAACAACTTCAAAACATTGTCTTTATCATTTCGTATAAACAGTATTGTAACAATCATTAAAGAAACTTAAAAGGTAAAAATATTGTATATCGCTATGATGATTGACGTCGTTTCTTCATGGCGTCACACCGCGGAGGCATATCCGTTAAATTCGACAATTGAGTGACGCGTTTTTTGTTGATATTGGAGAAATATTTTGAATGTTTAGAGGTGGCAATGGAACTAAGAGTTAATATCTATCTTTTCGACATCATTGTAAACCATGGGAAGCGTATTCCTTCTCTCCTCGTGTTCCTTCAGCCAGGTGAAACTTACAGTGACATTTCATTTTAAACAAAGCAGACAACAGACGTGCCAGACAGTGGAGTAGTGAGAGAACGTTTTTATACTATCAGCCTTGACCTGTGGTGTGGTCGAAGCCAAGAATCGTTGTGTGTTTTGAAAATAACAATTTATTTCCGCATAAAAGAATATGGTGATTTTGATTGAAATAGACATAATCGCTACGGTTTTATAATGAAATATGCAATTTGTCGTCCAAAGATATAAAAAAAGATCCGAACGTGACTCCGTATTGTTTGTTTACTTTTGGGTCACGTTCGTACAATGTAATACTACTTATTAATAGGCACGGTAGTCTAGCGGTAGGACGCCGGGCTCGTGACCGAGGGTTTCGGGTTCGAGTCACGGCACTGTGTTGCATCTTTGAACAATGTACTTTACTCCACTTGTTCCAGTCTACTCAGCTGTAAATGAGCATGTGGTTGGGCAGTGCTAGACTTGTTGATTGCTAGCTGTGAACGCCGAAATGGCAGCATCAGCTTGTATACTTTGAGGGAGTTGAGAAAGACATTGGCTGGTTTCAAAGGGCCTTTAACTACGGATAACAATAATAATTTGTGAACCGCTTTGAAACGACCTTTGAACTAGGTTGTGATAAAGCGGTATATAAGAACCTCGAATTATCATTATTACTCGTCCCGGTTCATAGTCTGGTGACCCGAAACCAAGTTTACTTTGTTTGCATACTGGCATTGCAGCGAAAATATAAATAAATGAATAATAAACCAGGAAATATTCATTCACTATACTGTATATGTATTTCCGTTAACAGAATACCTCTAATGTATATCTAACATATAAATAACATAAGTGCAGTTCATCTAAAAGCTGAAACTAAAATAGACCTAAATCACAATGTAATTTACCTTTTTACTATGTGATTCATTCTCGCATTATAATATATGTAATTTAAATAATATATACTTAGAATATGGACAGGGGAAATTAAAAATGATTCATGTATAGATTTAAAAATGCATGTATTTTATTGCAACTAAATATTTACAAAAGAATGGGACACGATGTTGTACAACTTATCACAGTCATTTCCTTCAAAATACATGACTATACACAATTACCCGATAACACTATTTACGCAATATATATAAGTATATTTCATATGGAAATAGAAAGGTGAGAGGAAGAAGAGACGGAGTGAGACACGAAGTAAGGCATAATAAGACAGGTAGAGTCAAAGAAAAAGAGAGAAATAGAAAGAGAAAGATTGTCACATTCGGGCAAACCGGTTGCATTTGCAACGAAGGTATTTTCTTCTTTGCTGAACATAACTGTTAATTAACAAAATAAATATGATTTACTTACTTGTAACCTGAACAGCTAGCGTTACAATGATGCATTATAAGTTTTCCGGAGTATCAATAACGTCATAAGTGTTGAAAAGGTGTTAAGGGTCATGATGGAGAGGATGTGACGTCACATAATCTGCCCGGGAGGCAACACGAGACCATGTAACGTGTTATCTCTACGTATCGGAGCCAGTGTCCTTAAAGTATGGTTAGCTTAAAAGTACGGAATATTAAAAAAAACAAACACCATAAACGTAATGCTTGAATATATATCTTTGGAAAATCCCAAACATTTTTTTTGGGAATGAAGATATTCAAAAACATTCAATACCACAAATACAATTCATAAAAAAAACTAATAAAACCCCTCTATACATAGTCCGTACCCGATTACCTTTCGGGACGAACGATTCATTGTAAGCAGAAAAAAAAACATCCGTATCGGGAATCCTCTCAGGTCTGAGGAAGGCCTTAAAGGGACAAAGACTATTCGTATCCGGTAGCCCTCAGGGGCGTACGCTGCTTTATAAGGACGATGATACATCATCAGTACAAAACATTAAATATCTGAGGACACCCCACTTTTATATATAACATAGTTTTTACCCATGCGAGGAAGACAGTGGATTCTGTTCCCAGGACGTACCTAATTAGCGCGCTTCATTTAGTTGACCTCTGTCCTGTTAGTATTTATAATGCCTATGAATACCAACTGAAAGCAGTTAAATAGTTATAGATTATCACACTGCATTTTCAGGGTTTGTCGCGAGATCAATTTTATCTAGGTGCGCGATAAACTCAACTAAACACTATGTTTCCAAAAGACTTCTAAGCTCAATGGTCAACAATCGCGACAAACGCATACAAATAGAAGTTTTACGCAGCGGAATACCATGAACCTTAAAACCACGTAGATTTGAAAAAAAAAACTTACGTCACTGGCTTTCCCACATGCAAATTTACCCCTGGATGCACATTCTAAAATGATCATAGGACAGTCGCCAATGTTATATCAAACCAATCCTGCTCACGACCCCAATACCTCATGGTTCCCTTTGTTTTGAAACTTTGGTCCTTATTACTATTATTATTATTAAATGCTTAATGGACCATCAACACAGGATAGGTCATTAGGGCCAACAAATGGTCGAAAAAAAACAATGCAAAAAACCGTCAAACAAACTTAAAGGTTAAAAGACAAACGTCAATTTGAATATTGAAAGTTGCTATGATGACTCAAATATTATTAAAAATACCAACAGCTTGCAGATAGCCTTGAAACTTTCTTTTGAGCCACTCGTTCGAGGCTTTAAACTAGGATTTCCCTGATTTGCTTGTTTGTTTGTTTGTGTTTTATGTCCTATTAACAGCTATGGTCATTTAAGGACGTGTCAGGTTTTGAGGTGGAGAAAAGCCGGAGTTCCCGGAGAATAGAACACCGACCAACGGCCAGTACCTGAACCTGTCGCGAATTCAAATGCATTTGTTCCGTAAAGTGGTCTAGTTTCCTCAATATATCTGTAAATGACATCGCAAACCCATGCTCTAGCGCTAGGTCATTCTCGTCTAAGTTTCCGGTGTTATATGTCGGTGGCATTTAAAATTCCCAGCGATGTTTCCTATTTTGTGACGTTTTCACTCTGGTCTTACATGTACTAACATCTAAGCATTCTGCTATTATGTTTGCACAAATCAAGCTATTGAACAACGTCGATTCCCTGCTCTGTTGTTCCCCCGTGGCCTCCATGTTCTTTCTCATTTCATTTTTGATATTCATTTAAAAGCTGGAGATTTTTTTCTTTCTGACTGTACCTTTTTGGAACTACAGGCGATCATGGAATAGTCTTTTATATTACATATTTATAATGCGCCATTATCAATAACGATGGCGTAAGAATGGAAGAATATAACTTCGACATCGTTGCAGACATTACAAAACTTGTCATCCTGTTTTACTAACATTCCCTATGGTTTGGTTTGTTTGTGTTTTACGCCTATTAACAGCTATGGTCATTTAAGTACGTGCCAGATTTTGGTGGTGGAGGAAAGCAAATAAAATTTAGAAAAAAACCTAATAACACACCGTTATTATCATCGCGAGCAAATGGAAAAAATCGAGAGGCCACCGCTGTATTTTACTACATGTCGTAAAAAGTGATTAATGTACACCCCTTTCCCGCTGTCATTATCGGGAGAGTTGTCGAGTACTTTTGTGTCTTTTGCTTAGGGGACACAGTCAAAATTGACACCATTGGAAAACTAGATCTCTTTGATTCTGTATCACATTTCTATTCTTATTTTTCTTACGCACTCTTCTAATGATAGAGCAGTTGTACAACTACCAATGCAGTTTGTTAAGTTTGTTTCAAGACCAACTCATCACCCAATGACATCGATCAAAGCACGATTCAATCCTTAAACAACCATGCAAGGAGTACCTTTGACTATCCGTCTCTTTACCTTCAGCAACAGATTGACCTTAATATCTATAAAACAAATGAGGAGAAACGGGGAGTAGAAGGTCGAGACAAACGCATGAAAAATACCAATGTGTCAACAAAACAATGCTTTTCAAACTCCAAATAAAAAGGCCAGGCCTTTAGAACAACAAAATATTATTATTCGTTTCCAGCTGGGAAAAACATTCAATACTTATATTGACATTCTAATGTATAAGTTAATATTGACCTATATATACTAGTACACATATTCCCTTATATTTTCCAATTTACCGGGACATACCAAAGTCCTTAAAACGGTAGTTGTTATTCCCTGATTAACGTTTAGCATTAAGGGGAATGGCAATAACCGGTTCACCCGTTGTCATTAAAATGTGACCGGGCGGAATGCTGTGCTTGGTGCCTTTGGCATGGTATTTCAGTGAGATAGCACTATAAAGTCGGCGTTAGATCCGCGCTATCACAAGGAGGCAATTGCACCAACATACCCTGTCTCCGACACGCATACACACATGTACGCTTACACAAAACATATGGATGTACGTCCTTATATTATCTCAGCTTCTGATAGGACTTTAAACAAAACAGAAACAAAATAGAAACAAAAGTACCACAAATACCAAACCAAACTGGAGAAAATGATTCCAAAATAACGTAACAGGTTGTTCCGGACCGGTAGCTGGAAACGTTTTAGAAGCCACAAGGCACCCGAAGGAGTTTGCAACTTTATAGAAGGCAATTTTAGACAAGCCGCAGATGTGCGAATTTTATACTTGGAAAATGTTGGCACGTCGTTAAAACGCTCGTCATTTGACTTCATGAGATATATCTTAAAAAAACATACCATACCTTGTCTCCAGCACACGTCACACATGCACGCTTACACAACACACACGGAGACACGTCCTTAAATGACATTAGATGTTGATAGGACGTTAAACGAAACACAACCAAAAAGCATGTCCAGGAAAAGCATATTCAGGACATCGGGGATATTGGAATAGTAAGGAGCTCGTAGCTAATGAGAAAATAAATAATACAATTGTAACAGATTTAAAGAGGAAAGCATTTGGAGGGATCAACCGCATCCAAGTGTTTTGTGATCAGGATGTGCGAGGATCTCCAAAACAAAGTGTGGATGAAAATAGCATGTCATCAGTGCCGAAGGGGTCTCGAACATTCGCGGCAACAGGCTATAAACACATTATAAAAACCGTCAATTTGCAACCAAACAATGATCTTGGCAAAGGCTTTGCACGTGCCTTCAACTGAGGGTGTAAAATAACAATGAATTTCAATTATGGAAAAAAAAAACTGTTGAATTTTCTAAAATGAGTTTTTATTAAATATTAAATATAAATATTCACTTTTGATATTTTTATTTCTATTAGGTATACTTACCCAGTACATAACCTCATATCGGTGTTACAGGGGATTCGTCTCCCCTCAATAGGTAACGTCTTCTCGCTGATGATATTATTCGTTTTTGGGAGACAAATCCTAAAATCCTATTGTCACACCGATTTGGGTTCATTAATTGTATAGCATTATCATGTGAATTTATCTTTATACAAAGGTTACCAGTGCATGTTCTGGGAAAGAATAAGCCTGCCGTATTGTATCCCACTATATGATCGTAAGAGGCTCGACTTATGTGGGCCCTTTTATAATCGGGGGTTGTTTTTCCTAATCATCTATTAAGGTGATATCTGTTTCAAGTTCAGGCGGTGTCTCACTAGGCACCCGTCCTCATATGCCCCTGGCATTTTCGAGGACGTTTTACCCCAAACCGATTTATACAAAGGTCGAGTACTATCACATCTCGTTTTTTCTCAAGGACGATGTCAATGTCACTGTTGCAATTTATACATTTTTATGCATAGTTCGACAGTTGCTATTTTGTCTACAGATTCCCTTTCTTTACTTTGCAAACTTGAGTTCTATACAAACGTTCATTTACCTTTATAAAAAGTACCTTGAAAGAATCGGTAACACAGGATGCGAAAATCGAAGTCAATTTAACGTTTAAAGGAAAATTTTCAAATAATGAAGCTTACTACACAGGGCTTAGGGACATTCATCTGTTACAAAGACTTTCCAGTTTCAAAAGTTCAATTATACTTATAGCTAAGCCCTTAGAATCCCGCAATTCAGGTAAGTAAAGTCTCCGGTAAAGAGTTGAGTGTGTGGTGTAGGTCTGTGTACTATAGTTTATTGGAAGTATAAGTGACCTAGACACTATATATCTCAATGACAGGCAGGGCAGTGCGATCCGTAGTTAAATGTGACAGTAAGACGCTATTACTTTTGTCATAACTGTCAGAGAAAAAATATTCTGATATCTGAGCAGGCAGGTCGATCCGCCCAAAACAAATCTGATGCGTATATTTCAAATGACAACAAGTATATCTATTCCTCGAAGCATGTAATAGAGGTATATTCACTGCGTTGCTTTGCTCACCTTTTTCGTGTTAAATAAATTAGTGCCAAACTATCGGAACGCGAATATTTATAGATTACATAAGTTATATGTATACGGAATATATTGATTTCAAAACCATTGCTAATGCGAACGTTTCCAAACTGCGATCAGTATGTAGAGCCAAAACGCGAACATTTCCATGTTTACATTATCCTGTGTTGAGTTTGAGTTTGTTACAGAAATAATTAATCCAGGGTTTCATTAAATCATGTTTTTAGACATGCATACAGTATGTAAAGGATATAAGCCGAAAACTGTCTATTATGTAAAATATTGGACAGTCTGAGGCGTTGAAGACTGTCCGATTATTTACATAATAGACAGTTTGAGGCTTATATCTTACTTAAAACATGTCCCCTATTGTATCAATTGTGATCAGTGTTTTGGTGCATTGTGATAATATTGGACAGTTTCACTATGAATCAATTACCGTGAAAGCTATTCATAACATATTGGACAGTTTTTCAACTACACTGTATACTGAGGTCAGTCATGTATATCAATCTCACTTTGCATGATTTGTATGCAACTGCATATACCAGGTATGAAATACACCCAGGTATACTGATACAATCCAAAAACAACGAAAAGCTGAAAAACTTTCCTAACAACTTACTGGATTTACCTGTCTCCGATATTAATGAGGCTCTGACTTATTTTGTAGCTGAAGTTCGAAATAAGAATGGTGAGGAGTACAGACCAAACACACTGTATGAATTAATTATATCTATACAACATTATTTTCGGCAAAATGGAAGTTTTGTGAATATTTTGGATGATACAGAGTTTGCAGGACATGTCCGTTATTTTTAACAAACTGTACAATATTAAAATATTGGACAGTTTTATGATCTTGTTGGACAGTTTTTGTAACATATTAGACAGTTATGCATATAACAGTACTCATATTCTATATAATGGACAATTATAACAATGGATGGCATCACAAGAATGTTTTAATGAACATTATTGAATTACTGTGTAAGATAGCGATTATAAACTTGGATACACGCTTGTTTATTTTGTCTTTAAACCTCTGTGACCTCCATACTCTCAGCAAGAATTGTCCTGATAAATGTTTCGTACTGTTGTACAGGTAATTGACAAAAGAAAAGGTAAACATCGACGACCATAGAAAGGAAAACTTCGAACTAAAACTAATCATGTGTAAAGGTATAACCAGTGATCAAGTTGTAAATTATATATCATATCTTATTGTTAATATCGATCGAGATTAAAATGTTCGATGTTAATGGCTCTTGATACAAGGAGCACGTTCAGTGTCCTACCTCGCATCGTCTATTGTGCAATGTATTATTAGTTATACAGTTTGTTAGTGACCTAATACGGAATTCGCCTCGCCCGATACAAGTTTCTTTTAGACACAATATTTTTCCGTATTAGGTCACTAACAAACTGTGTAACGAATTTATCCCGTCGAAGGCCCTTTGGATAAAACAAAAACCTGTTTGTTAACATTTTTGTTAACAATTCATCGTCTGTCGTCTGCACAAACCGCTTGGTCGCCATCTTGTTACAAGTTGACTCTTATGGGCAAAGAACGATAACTCTTTCGTACTCACATTAGCATACTGGATATCATGTGACGTCGTTTTAACCAATAGGACTACAGGATTTTTGCCTGAGGCGGGATAAGGTGTATTGCGCTTTGTTTCTGTTTTTCCTTTGTAGAGTTTTGAGTTCGTATTTTGTCCTTGCATCTTGACAATATTCTACATTGTTATATAANTAGAAGCGAATATTTTTTTACAGCTGATACTGTTTTTATTAACTATAGAGTAGTATTATATTGGTTTACCTGTACATGTATTCCACAGGGTGAAGTGAAACAACACAGATATTTAATAACGCATATACGTCGTCACCAACAACTGTTAGCAACCCCAGAGTAAGATAAACAAAGTAACGGATGACATACTATAAATACCCGGAAACACACAAAGGCGTAGAACGTGGGATATTGGCCAACTACATCCACTGACAAACCCTCATTTACCCCCGAACTCTATGATGGACCGTGTATGTACTTTGAGTATGTGGTTACCCGTCATTCTCACAGGTTTGTACAAAGTCATATTTTAAACAAACCCTTTTATTAAGGTGGTTTAACCAATTACTTTTAACTGCATTAGTTTGTTGAATTACTTTTAATGTATTTAAGGATAACTGAACCATCTACTTTAAACTGTAGTAGGACTGTTGAAATACTTTTTATTTATTTAAGGATAACTGAACCATCTACTTCAAACTGTAGTAGGACTGTTAAATTACTTTTAATTTATTTAAGGATAACTGAACCATCTACTTTAAACTGTAGTAGGACTGTTGAAATACTTTTTTTTTATTTAAGGATGACTGAATCATCTACTTAAAACTGTAGTAGGACTGTTGAAATACTTTTTATTTTAGGATGACTGAATCATCTACTTTAAACTGTAGTAGGACTGTTGAAATACTTTTTATTTATTTAAGGATGACTTAACCTTCTACTTTAAACTGTAGTAGGACTGTTGAAATAGTTTTTATTTATTTAAGGATAACTGAACCATCTACTTCAAACTGTAGTAGGACTGTTAAATTACTTTTAATTTATTTAAGGATAACTGAACCATCTACTTTAAACTGTAGTAGGACTGTTGAAATACTTTTTTTATTTTAGGATGACTTGACGATTTACTTTAAACTTTAGTAGGATTTTTTAAGTACATTTTTAGGATGACTCAAACATCTTATTTAAACTGTAGTAGGATTATGAAACTACATTTTTTATTTTAGGATGACTAAACGATTTACTTTAAACTGTAGTAAGACTGTTAAAATACTTCTTATTGAAGGATGACTTAACGATTTACTTTAAACTGTGGTAGGATTTTTTAAGTACATTTTTATGATGACTTAAACATCTACTTTAAACTTTAGTAGGACTGTTAAACCACATTTTATTTCAGGATAACTTAATGAACAACTTTTGACTATATTGATATTGTAAAACTCCTACTTTATTATAAAGAATGCTTAACAAACCACTTTAAGCAATATTTATATTATAATAACATATTTTAAAAATGTCGATGACTTAATTTAAGGACTTCCCACCCTTCGTAATACACATGTTTTTCTTGTCATATTTTCGTGTCGTCATTTCCGTATTGCGTATCGGGCATTCCATTACCGTGGTATAAATCATAGTAACACCGGGTAAACAATAGTACACGCGGGTGACGATGATATGTCAACACTCGATATCGAGACTTAACTTGGAAATGTGTAATCACACGTACTTGAGAAATAAAGCTTATGATACAAAGACATTAATTAACTCACGGGCAAACACTGACATACGATCAGACGATTTCAAGAAGGCCGTATACGAGGCGCATGGAATGCAGACTGATGTGTTTTGTTTACCGACCTCACCTGTACGTATCACGTGCTAACAGCAGTTCACAAGCTCTTGGTCGCTACGACTTTTGTTGTCGAGAGAGTTACGCTCTGTCAGATAAATCGGTTCACAAATGCAATTACAATAACTCTGTGAAAGTAGTGGTTTGTAAAATATCAATATCCCTATAAAATGCAAGTGCATGTGCGTATACGTAATAACGGCATACCATGCGATAGCCTATGGTTACATGTTACTATACCATGTGTAAGCATGCTATGGAATGATGTCCAAAGTGTACATGATTGAGAGTAGATTTGTTCCATAAAAGAACAGTAAATTGACAATTAAATATAGTAGTTTCATATATTTCCATCGTTTTTGGTATAGTAAAGAAAATAAGTGTCATTGTATAAATTCTATCCCTCTGCAAAAAGTTCTGATTTTTTTCAAGATAGACAACTCTCATCAGGATCAAAATTATTGTAAAATATAAAATAAATTAATTATAGACATTGTGTGTATTTGGTTCAAATTTTCACTCTTTTTGTATGAAACTATTTGTCCTGTTTGCTTTTAGCTTGTATTTAGTAACATTTATCCATACAATTTCAATAAAAAACGGTTTTTGTAACATGTTGTAGATATTTTATGATAAATGAAATATTTGTAGGGTTGATTAGCAATGTTTCTTTTCATTATTTTATTGTTGTTATAATTTTGAACAATGCCACACGCTCAAAAAATGTGAAAGTGTTGAATTTGACAAAAAATCAATTTTTCGGTATTTTTTACAAAATTATCCCCAGTTTATCGGAATGCTTAGATTTTCATAAAATTATCTCTACATAGTGACATAACCATTTTGTGAAACTTTCATTGAATTCTGCATCCTATTGCGAAAGGGTGGAGCCTCCTTAATAAACTACTTGAGACTGTTATAATATTGTATAGCTAGTATTCTGTTATAAAGGTGACTTTACTTACTACTCTTAACAGTAGTAATATTGTAAAACTCGACTTTTTAATAATAAGATGATTAAACCAGCTACTTTTCACAATAGATACATTGTTTAAAAACCTTCTTTTTTTTTTATCTGAAATGCTATAACCAACTACTTTAAACTGTAGTTATATCGTATACATACTATTTTTATGTTAAGAACAGTTAATGAACTACTATAACAATAGTAATCCTGTAAAATGCCTTAACCAACTGATTTAAACTGTCGTATGATAATTTTAGATATGTAAGTGACTTAAGCAGCTGCCTTGCTCTCACACTGTAGAAATATTGTGAAACTAATCTTTTTAAATAAAGGTGGCTTAAGCACCTCCTTTAAATTGTAGTCATATTGTTTACCAAAGTGTTTATATGAAGGTGTCTAAACTTTCTGATTTTAACCGTGCCGCATCGTTTTCTAGACCGACTTGTCCCCTGGTCAAGCTATGACTAGGGAGACAGACATCAGTTTCCGGAGACTGTATCGGAATTCATAAGACTGATCTTTTCTGAAATTTAACATGGTAATACATTTTGATATTTAATATTCAAATGTGCAATACGGTGTCTAAATCAAAAGTCCGTTACTTTAATTAGAACCGTGGGATGAGTTCTTTATTTCTGAATCCAAAAGATTAATCTTTCCGTAATTTGATATGGCGATGCACTGTGAAGTTAAGACGTGCAAAAGGGGTTAAAACAGTTTTAAAGATCTAAGTCAATGGCAGTGCTCAGGCACAAGGTGAGCTCTTGCTTACCTTGCAGTGTTCAAGTATTGTGTATAAAGTCATATCTTTAGACGAAATTAACAAAATGGGATTTGAGATAAGCAATAATACCCACGAAGCAAAGTTTAACTGACATCACGCCTAGTCATAAGCCTTTGTGACATTTTTTATGGGCAATGAAAACAATCAACTTTTTTCTAATATCATCAGGTCGTACCAAAACCATCAATAGTCTACGGTCGCTTACTTAGCAAATGGAAATAAAAATCAAATCTGCGTCTTTGAATGCAGCGAATAGCAATACCATTCTGATTGGTCAATATTTGAATTGCTGCATTTAATTTGCATAAGATTGATAGAATTACACATCATTAATATAAATATCAATGAATATATACGTACGTTGTTCACTTAATTAAGCAGCTGATAGCGTTATTTTAATTTTTAAACAGGGCTACATACAGCCGCTGCCGAATTTTTCAGGATTGATCCTTTCCGGCAGGTCATTGATTTCTCCACCTACTACGTCACGCTGTCCAACGCATCGGCAAGTACCATTTCCTGTGCCTTGCTGTGCGTCCTGACGTTCGGACAATGTCCTTACTACATATACGACGCCCGAACATCTGCATGTTACGGTCGGAAAGACAGTATAGTGTACAACAACGCTCCTGGACAACTTATTGTAATGATGAACAAAATGGTCGAAGTAGAGAACCGGCTAAAAGGTAGAACACAATTATATGACTTGATTGCTATATTTAACGCAAGTGACCTTGTATGGTTATCGCACCCGGACAATATAACAGTATAAACCGCGTTTGTAAATATTAACTAGAGAAACGGTTACTGAGCTCACATTGATATTACCCACCGCATCTTTTCTAGATATTTAAACTTTATTTGCCGGAGGTTTAATGCTCTAATCACAAATTCTTCCCCACATGCATATCTACACATGATTTACGCTGTGCCAAGTTACAAAAGAAAACCGAACGGACAGTTTAAGGAGGACTTAAAAGAATACTGTAACCGAATTAAAGTTATATCTATGGTCATAACTCAATGCAAATATATCACATCGCAAAAAACGTGCTCCGTGCATATCTATATAGGATATACATTCACTCTCTCAAATTAATAAAATTAGAGACAAAAGGTTGAGGAGCTTCACTGCTAGACGGACGGACAGGAGCTATGATGTATACTCTCCCAGACAAACACAAACTTCGTTTGCGGAGGGGCATAAATGACAAAAAGAGAATATTTGTCAGAGTGACTTAAATTTATATTTCGTCAATGTAAAGTTCATTATCCTGACTTACGTGAGGCTACATAGACCATGAACCAGCCTTAAAGTGATCGATGTCATATTGCAATGAAAGAACACTTTTTTAGAGTGTTCTTTATGTTTATTGCTAGTTAACAAGCCAAGTATGCGACACTCAATAAACAGTATTACAGACAAGAAATAAAAACCGGATAAACACAGATGAGTGGAATTACCATGACAGAAATCTAAATTTGATTGCCTAAAAAATGTTCACGTAAGATATTTAACGTACATCCGAGTCATTAACAGAACCTACCGGGACCGATGACTTCGGCATGATATTTCAGTGAAATAGCACTATAAAGTCGGCATCAGATCCGCGCTATTACAGGGAGGCAAGTACACCAACATACCCTGTCGCCAGCACACATACACACTTGCACGCTTACATAACACATATGGAGGCACGTCCTTAAATGACCTTAGATGTTAATAGGACGTTGTAATAGTGCGGATCAAATGAGGTATGGTGTTACCTCTATGAAATAGCATACAGAAGAGGGGGCATAACCCGTTGCCCTCCTCGCCTGGGGGAACGGTCAACATTAATGCCAAGCAAGGCGTTAGGAAAACAAAGGTAGTTAGAAGTAGAGATAAATATAAATATCCCAACTTTTGCAATTGGTGCAGCATATTTATTTTGATCGCTTTTGTGTCCCCAAGTAAGGGACACAACGATATAATATCCCCTCTTCAAAGTGGCTTTAGAAATAGAAGACATCTTATCAGGTTCGAGACGTTCATTCGAGAGGCTTTCGCCAAGAAAGAACACCTTGACGCCGTGTTCTTTGATCTTGAGAAGGCCTATGATACTACATGGCAGTATGGCATCATGAAAGATCTTCACGACCTTGGTGTACGTGGAAACCTTCCCAATTTTATATCTAATTACCTATCAGATAGACACTTCAAAGTCCGTGTTGGTTCAACTTTTTCTGAAACGTCTAAACAGGAAATGGGAGCCCACAGGGTGGAATCCTATCAGTCACACTGTTTGGTCTTAAAATCAATGATATAGTCAAATGTCTTGGTCAATCAACAGAAGGGTCGTTATTTGTGGATGACTTCTTGATCTGTTACAGATCTAAGAACATGCACACGATAGAACGACAACTTCAACAGAGTTTAAACAAACTACAAAATTGGGCAGACGAAAACGGCTTCAAATTCTCTAAATCCAAAACTGTGTGCATGCATTTCTGTCAAAAACGAAAAGCACACAATGACCCAAATCTAACACTCGATGGCACTAGAATTCCTGTTGTTGAACAGACTAAATTTCTCGGCCTCATTTTTGATTCGAAACTCTCTTTCATACCACATATAAAGTATCTGAAGGATAAGTGTTCCAAGGCGTTAAACATTATACGAGTCCTTTCTCATACTGATTGGGGAGCGGATCGTGAAATGCTTTTGCGCCTATACAGATCACTTATTCGAACAAAACTGGATTATGGTTCTATGGTATACGGGTCAGCGCGCAGTTCGTACCTTCAGATGCTAGATCCAATCCATAACCAAGGGCTACGTCTTGCCCTGGGAGCTTTTCGAACAACACCTGTAAAAAGCCTGTACGTGGAAGCAAATGAACCATCCCTTTATGACAGAAGAATAAAACTTTCATTACAATTTGCAACTCAATTAAAATCAAACCCTAAAAATCCTGCTTTCAACCAAGTATTCAACCCCAAATACCAAAACATATTTACGCAAAACCAAAAACTTCTGCCAACATTTGGTATCCGAATTTTGAATTTCCTGCAAGAACTCAACATAAAATTGACGGACATAGCTGAATTTAACATATCTGATGTTCCTCCGTGGACCATTCAAACCCCCGATTTTAACTTTACATTACATGAGCGAGGGAAATCAAGTGTTATGCCCGAAGAACACAAATCCTCCTTTCGGGAATGCATTTCGAATTACCCTTCTCATACACAACTTTACACCGATGGCTCCAAAGAAGGTGAGAAAGTGGCAGCAGCCTGCTGTACTGCCAATACTTGCACTTCAGTCCGACTACCAGACGGCGCCTCCATCTTTTCTGCTGAAGCATGCGCCATTGGTTTGGCCCTCGACCATATCGATGAACACCGCATTAAAAAGGCAATTATTTGTTCAGACTCTCTATCTGTCCTACAGAGTTTACAGTTACGAGATCCTAAAAACACAATCGTACAAAACCTTGCTCATCGAATATCTCGTATATTAAAAAAGTCTAAAATAACTTTACTATGGATTCCGAGCCATGTCGGAATAAAAGGCAACGAATTTGCTGACAGGGAAGCAAAAAATGCATTGAATCTCGAACAAACAAATATCAAACTACCATACACAGATTTTAAACCTTCTATTCGTACAGCCATTCAAAATGAATGGCAGAAACGCTGGTCTCTGGAGACCACCAACAAACTTTTTAAGATACAACCGAAACTTAAAACATCTATTCCCAGTCGGAAAGATCGTAGAGAGGAAGTTGTCCTCGCTCGGCTCCGCACTGGGCACACATATCCTACTCATTCGTACCTTTTAAAACGAGAAGATATACCTTCATGCCACGCATGTGACACTCCATTTACAGTGGAACATTTTTTTTAATAGAATGTTCCGATTTTAAACACATTCGTGATAACTACTTCCGACTCCCGGATATGAAAACCCTTTTCAGCTCCGTGGATTCGAAGGCATTATTTAACTATTTGAAAGACATCGGACTATTTTATAGACTCTGATGTCTTTTAACCCAACTTATCATTTTTGACGTTATATATATATCGCATATTCCATATCATCTATTCGTTATCTCTTTTATTATTTTAACCCCCCTTTTTATTTTTTATTATCTACACATACAATGCGAATGCTTTTAAAATGAACCATTTTATCTGATTTTATCTTCGCTATTCACATGTTTGTTAAAAAAAATAAAAAAAAATCACCATGGCCCTAAATGACCACAGCCGTCGATGGGCCGTTAAACATAAACAAACAAACAAACAAACAAACTTCTGATTCTGACGTCATTATTCTGACGTGTTTATTACATCACACTGTCATGTAGATCACTGTGATCATCTTTGTGTGATACACGTATGCAAAACTGGTGTTCCACTTAAATATTAATTAGGACATGTGTATCTTTCATGCGTAGAGTTGGGGAACTTTTGATTAATTTGTTTTCTTTGGCTGATTTCAGAGTTTAAATCCTGTGTCATTGAGAAATCTGGATTCCTCGTGGGCACATCCTCCTGTGTACATATCGGCAAATCGACTATGATATTTTCGCTCGCGGAGGCTTACTGTACGTCAAACTGGTTCGGAGGACGTATCTTTGAACCGAGGTCTGATACGTATAGGCTTCCTATGCTGGAGGCTGGATTCAATGGTACGTTTAAAAATCAGGATTCAAATTACTGTACTGGGTGCATTCGGCATGGTTTTTCAGTGAGGAGGCAATATAATATCACCTTAAGTCTGCACTATCGCAAGGAAACCGACATATCGACAAGCTGTCAAATCTAACTTTTGGCCTTCACATGTGGTTACTATATATCGTTTAAACCGACCTACCGACAAGTTGTCAAATCTAACTTTCGGCCTTCACAGGTGGTTACTATATATGGTTTAAACCGAAATACCGACAAGCTGTCAAATATAACTTTTGGCCTTCACATGTGGTTCCTGTATATGGTTTAAACCGACATACCGACAAGTTGTCAAATCTAACTTTTGGCTTTCATTATTTGGTTACTGTATATATGGTTTAAACCGACATACCGACAAGCTGTCAAATATAACTTTTGGCCTTCATTATGTGGTAACTGCATATGGTTTAAACCGACATACCGACAAACTGTCAAATCTAACTTTTGGCCTTCATTATGTGGTTCCTGTATATGGTTTAAACCGACATACCGACAAACTGTCCAATATAACTTTTGGCCTTCATTATGTGGTTCCTGTATATGGTTTAATCCGACATACCGACAAACTGTCCAATAGAACTTTTGGCCTTCATTATGTGGTTCCTGTATATGGTTTAGACCGACATACCGACAAGCTGTCAAATATAACTTTTGGCCTTCATTATGTTGTTCCTGTATATGGTTTAAACCGACATACCGACAAGCTGTCAAATTTAACTTTTGGCCTTCATTATGTGGTTCCTGTATATGGTTTAAAACGACATACCGTCAAGCTGTCAAATATAACTTTCGGCCTTCATTATGTGGTTCCTGTATATGGTTTAAACCGAAATACCGACAAGCTGTCAAATATAACTTTCGGCCTTCATTATGTGGTTCCTGTATATGGTTTAAACCGACATACCGACAAGCTGTCAAATCTAACTTTCGTTCTTTCGTACTTATGTTCGCTGATAATTTCGATCTCATAACCGTCGGCGAAAGAGGCTGAGACTGAAATACGGATCATATGTCATTTTACTTTATAATATGTATCTACAGACCAATATTTCAAATTATAAATATATTTAGCATTATGCCATTATCCGCGTAAATAACCCGATTCGGGTTTGTATTGTGTCTTCTTCTTTGATGACTTTGAAGTAACAAGAATTGATCTGCTGGCCCATGACAACACTTGGGACCTGTAAATATTCTGCTGGCCCATGACAACACTTGGGACCTGTATATATTCTGCTGGCCCATGACAACACTTGGGACCTGTATATATTCTGCTGGCCCATGACAACACTTGGGACCTGTATATATTCTGCTGGCCCATGACAACACTTGGGACCTGTATATATTCTGCTGGCCCATGACAACACTTGGGACCTGTATATATTCTGCTGTCCCATGACAACACTTGGGACCTGGATTTATTATACTGGCCCATGACAACACTTGGGACCTGTATATATTCTGCTGGCCCATGACAACACTTGGGACCTGTATATATTCTGCTGGCCCATGACAACACTTGGGACCTGTATATAATATGCTGGCCCATGACACCACTTGGGACCTGGATTTATTCTACTGGCCGATGACAACACTTGGGACATGTAAATGTTCTGCTGGCCCATGACAACACTTGGGAAATGTATATACTATGCTGGCCCATGACAACACTTGGGACATGTATATATTATGCTGGCCGATGAAAACCCTTAGGACCTGGATTTATTCTGCTGGCCCATGACAACACTTGGGACCTGGATTTATTCTACTGGCCCATGACAACACTTGGGACCTGTATATATTCTGCTGGCCCATGACAACACTTGGTACCTGTTTCTATTCTGCTGGCCCATGACAACACGTGGGACCTGTATATATTCTGCTGGCCCATGACAACACTTGGTACCTGTTTCTATTCTGCTGGCCCATGACAACACGAGGGACCTGTATATATTCTGCTGGTCAATGACAATACGTGGTACCTGTATCTATTCTGCTGGCCCATAACAATACTTTGGACCTGTTTCTATTCTGCTGGCCCATGACAACATTTTGGACCTGTATATATTCTGCCGGCCCATGACAACACTTGGGAGCTGTATATATTCTGCTTGGCCCATGACAACACTTGGTACCTGTTTCTATTCTGCTGGCCCATGACAACACGTGGGACCTGTATATATTCTGCTGGCCCATGACAACACTTGGGACCTGTATATAATCTGCTTGCCCATGACAACAAGTGGGACCTGTATATATTATGCTGGTCCATGACAACACTTGGGACATGTATATATTTTGCTGGCCTATGACACCACTTTGGACCTGTAAATATTCTGCTGGCCCATGACAACACTTTGGACATGTATTTATTCTGCTGGACCATGACAACACTTGGGACCTGTATATATTCTGCTGGCCCATGACAACACTTGGGACCTGTATATATTCTGTTATCCCATGACAACACTTGGGACCTGGATTTATTCTACTGGCCCATGACAACACTTGGGACTTGTATATATTCTGCTGGCCCATGACAACACTAGGGACCAGTATATATTCTGCTGGTCAATGACAACACGTGGGACCTGTATATATTCTGCTGGCCCATGACAACACGTGGAACCTGTATATATTCTGCTGGCCCGTGACAACACTTGGGACCTGTATATATTATGCTGGCCCATGACACCACTTGGTACCTGGATTTATTCTACTGGCCAATGACAACATTTGGGACCTGTATCTATTCTGCTCGCCCATGACAACACTTGGGACCTGGATTTATTCTACTGGCCCATGACAACACTTGGGACCTTTACAAATTCTGCTGTCCCATGACAACACTTGGGAACTGGATTTATTCTACTGGCCCATGACAACACTTGGGACCTGTATATATTCTGCTGGCCCATGACAACACTAAGGACCTGTAGATATTATGCTGGCCCATGACAACACTAGGGACCTGTATATATTCTGCTGGTCAATGACAACACGTGGTCCCTGTATCTATTCTGCTGGCCCATAACAATACTTTGGACCTGTATCTATTCTGCTGGCCCATGACAACATTTTGGACCTGTATATATTCTGCTGGCCCATGACAACACTTGGGAGCTGTATATATTCTGCTGGCCCATGACAACACTTGGTACCTGTTTCTATTCTGCTGGCCTATGACAACACGTGGGACCTGTACATATTCTGCTGGCCCATGACAACACTTGTGACCTGTATATAATCTGCTGGCCCATGACAACACTTGGGACCTGTATATATTCTGCTGGCCCATGACAACAAGTGGGACCTGTATATATTATGCTGGCCGATGAAAACACTTAGGACCTGGATTTATTCTGCTGGCCCATGATAACACTTGGGACCTGTATCTATTCTGCTCGCCCATGACAACACGTGGGACCTGGATTTATTCTACTGGCCCATGACAACACTTGGGACCTTTACAAATTCTGCTGTCCCATGACAACACTTGGGAACTGGATTTATTCTACTGGCCCATGACAACACTTGGGACCTGTATATATTCTGCTGGCCCATGACAACACTAGGGACCTGTATATATTCTGCTGGCCCATGACAACACTTGGGACCTGTATATATTCTGCTGGCCCATGACAACACTTGGGACCTGTATATATTCTGCTGGCCCATGACAACACTTGGGACCTGTATATATTATGCTTGCCCATGACAACACTAGGGACCTGTATATATTCTGCTGGTCAATGACAACACGTGGTCCCTGTATCTATTCTGCTGGCCCATAACAATACTTTGGACCTGTATCTATTCTGCTGGCCCATGACAACATTTTGGACCTGTATATATTCTGCTGGCCCATGACAACACTTGGGACCTGTATATATTCTGCTGGCCCATGACAACACTTGGGACCTGTATATATTCTGCTGGCCCATGACAACACTTGGGACCTGTATATATTCTGCTGGCCCATGACAACACTTGGGACCTGTATATATTCTGCTGGCCCATGACAACACTTGGGACCTGTATATATTCTGCTGGCCCATGACAACACTTGGGACCTGTATATATTCTGCTGGCCCATGACAACACTTGGGACCTGTATATATTCTGCTGGCCCATGACAACACTTGGGACCTGTATATATTCTGCTGGCCCATGACAACACTTGGGACCTGTATATATTCTGCTGTCCCTTGACAACACTTGGGACCTGGATTTATTCTGCTGGTCAATGACAACACGTCGGACCTGTATATATTCTGATGGCCCATGACGACACGTCGGACCTGTTTATATTCTGCTGGCCCATGACACCACTTAGGACCTGTATTTATTCTACTGGTCCATGACATCACTTGGGACATGCATATATTATGCTGGCCCATGACAACACTTGGGACCTGTATCTATTCTGCTGGCCGATAACAACACTTGGGACTTGGATTTATTCTGCTGGCCCATGACAACACTTGGGACGTTTATATATTCTGCTGTCCCATGACGACACTTGGGACCTGGATTTATTCTCCTGGTCCATGACAACACTTGGGACCTGTGTATATTCTGCTGGCCCATGACAACACTAGGGACATGTATATATTCTGCTGGCCCATGACAACACGTGGGACCTGTATATATTCTGCTGGCCCATGACAACACGTGGTACCTGTATGTATTCTGCTGGCCCATTACAACACGTGGGACCTGGATTTATTATTACTTCCCTGACCTTTTTGTTTTAGATTTGACAGTTTGTTAGTAAGCCGTTTTCATGTTACATATATAAGTCCTTGTGATGGTTGAATATTTAAGAACAAAAAACAAGAGTTTCTTCGACTTCCCTAGCGCTTTCTCCTCTTTAATGGTTTATCATGTGAACTGTTTATTCATGTTGACAGGACAACAACACACCACAGAAAGTGATGACGTCACAATACAACCTACCACACTTGACACAAAATTAACAATGCACCTTAATGTCAACATTTGAGGACCATCAAAGATGGTGTTACAGAAATAGATACATGTATATATAGTTACAGGCAGGAGAATAGCAACAGAATTGTTCACATACACTTTCTCATTATTCATGCATCGATCTGTGCTGTTAGAACAATTTAAACCAGGTTTTAATATTTCGATTTAGTTTAAACATATTTTATTGCTTCTAAATTCAAGCAAGAGGATTGGTCACAAGTTATGACAACTTATAAAAGCCCTCTCCTCAACAATTGTACTACAACAATGTGACATTGACAATAGACATATATGTACATTTTCTATACCATAAAACGAATTTGAAAATCAGAAAAAGGAAAGAAGAAACAGGTTGAAGGTGCAGGGAAATCACATGAATATCATATATAGAATTTCTGATCAGTCATATAACGATTAACATTGATTCTTTTGACTCTCGCTGTACAATGTCTTCCGTAGCTTGACATATAGGAATTTCATGGAACTTATCCTTTGTACAAGAATGTATATGCTTATTAACAGTTAAAAATCTTAGATGTTCACTTTTTGTCTGTTTTCTCTAAAGTGTCATACGTTGACGTAATTCACAACTAGTTTGACTAATGTAAAATTCAGAACAATTTGCACAGATCATTGCATAAACAACATTCCGAGATCTACAGTTCATATTAGCTTTTATTTTATTTTTATTTCCATTTTTGAATGTAAATTCTTTTCCTTCAACAATAATACTACAAACACCATATAATGGTTTGTTACATTTCGACACACATACATTTTGTTTAGACCCAATAAATTTAGAAGTACACAATAATCTTTTCAAATTTTTATGTTGTCTTTTACAGTTTATGCTTTTCTTATTGCAAAGGATTTTCCCCAAACGTTCATCTGTCTTCATTAAGTTTTCATAGCTTTTGATAATTGGAAACGCATTAAAGTTACACTTGTAAGTAGAAACAAACGGTATTATTTCACACTTTTATTTGTTGAACAAGCAGATGACCCTTGTCCGTGTCCTCTACGGGTCCACCTACAATTGGTCTAAATTTCAAATCGCTTGGCCATTTTACATCAATGATATCAAATTTCTGTTTTTCAATAGCTTCTGCTATGATAGAACTTCTTTGAATTTTAGGACGGCCGTAAAAGGAGCAAGTCTTACTTTCAAAATCTGTTTAAAATCCTTTTCTTCATCAAATAAACTGTTGCAATGTTGATGAACAAGATTATCAATCATTTCCTTTGTTTCGTTATCATTTCTGAAATCTTTTCACAATAAAAATCGCTGTCCATAATAATTACTGTACCACCTTTATCGGCCCCTTCGATGACAATAGTTTCATCGTCCGTTAAAGAATATATTGCTTTACGCTGCTTATGTGAAACGTTACTTTTGGTTTGTTTACACAATAACGGATATTTCTTTAAACCTTCAATGGGTTTTTTCCAGAAAGGAATTAGCACTTTTTGTTGGATTCCTATTAGATTTATTTCGAACTAAAGGTTCAGCTTTATTTTCCGATTCGCTCATTTAATCTTAATCTGCGGCAAAATTGTAAAATAAAAGTTGTGAGTTCTTTTTCATTTTGTTTAGGAGTAGAGCAAAATGTTATATCCTTTTTCAAAATACTTATCTCATCATCATTAAAAATTCTCTGTGATATATTTTTTACCTGAGGTTCATTATTGGTACGAGAGTCACAATTATTTACCGTCTGCCCAGTAGATTTGTGCTTCCTCATTTCCCGCCTCCTTTGTATTTTTGGCGTCGATCATCCAGAAAAGACTGTGAATTGTTGGAACTCTTCAGTGATGACTTTCCTATGTAGGTTATACCTTGCTTCACAAATGGTAATTTTAATGCTGTTTCATCTATGGAAGAAGTTGATTGCCGGTTTGAAGATTGTCCTTTATTAGGTTGACTTGGGGTCTTTTTATGAGGTATATATATAAACAGAAACGGTATAACCTGTTAAATACAGTCACAAAGTATTTCAAATGACCATGAAATATCCTCATTTGATCTCCATTTGATACAAGTTCGATTATCCTTTTATACAAAACGAACGATTAATTCTTCTCTTTAATTGTTGAACGTGTATGACCGGGACAAGTTCCTGTGCAATAACAGATGTTTCCACTTGGTTGTCGTTAACACAAAAGAGGCAGAGGTCATTCGAGCAAATAAAAGGTAGATACAATGTTTTAAAGGAAATGAAATCAAATGAACTAAGAAGTAACAGACAAACGTCAACTGGGACAGTAACCTAGGCTACGGTTAGTTGTTTCTTTATGCACAGACCAACAACTTTTAAAAAGGTTGGAATTGAAAAGATTTCTACTATTTCTGAATTTTAGAATTGAGATTTGTTATATTATTATTAAAAATTGCTCGTACGGGTACTGTAAATGGTTTGTGGCTTGCGAGAAATATTTCCACTTGTTCCGTTTACAATGAATATAGCAAACACTCTATTCCACAGATAACGGCAACAACTTCTGGATCGGTCTTGGTTATAAGCCATCTGATCATGTGTACCGCTGGAACAGTGATGGACAGGAGGCCCTCTACACAGACTGGTGTATCTCTCCTTGCTATGATTCCCCGCAACAACCAGATCATCCGGAATCAGAGTTTTGCGCCTCTATCGGGTACTTCAAGTCCGTTGCTTTTGGATGGTGGGACCGTGACTGCGGTTCGAAACACCGACCAATGTGTGAGATTTTTGTGTGATTAATACTTTCACATTTAATCTTGAAAAAGTTTGACTTATTCAGGTTACTGATTTATTTCCAGTTTAATTTGACACCGGAAAATGGTAATACTTTGATATCTGACATTTATTTGTATATCTGCAGCAAAAAAATCCCTTGACGACATAAGTTATATTTAGTGGACAATTTGAAAATATTCTCAGTTGGAACAATGACTTTACATTATATGACACTGCTAACATGTATTAGATTATCGCTGGAAACTACATAAAAAATGATGTGTTTCTCAATGACACGGCTAAAATATATTCAACTCAAATCCTATCGATATGGAACTACGAAATTGTATTATTTGACGAAGGGGATTTATATTTAGATGAACCCGGTAGATTATTTTCAGTTGACAATGGGAAATTATATATTTAATATGAAAAAAAATCAATATTTATGTGAGACTTTTGATAAATTTATGTGTATTGCTGAGAAACTTAGGTGAAAATGGAAAATGATATGTATATGTGACTGGCATTGGTAGGTTTTATTTGAATGGCAAGGGGACTTATATTAAATAGTCAATATGAGATTACACGTATGTATAGTATAGTCTTGAAAATTATAAATAAAAAACACTGAGAATGTAAATTGGAATGACATTTAGAAAAAGTATTTGAGTGATAGTTAAGATATTTTCGAGATATTTTCAAGAAAGAATAGCGGCGCTTGAAGCTAGTATGAAAGTGCAATACGACGACAGCAGAGTCCGCAAATAATTCAAGTGGAAAGTCGTAGCAGTTAGACTGAAAGAGAAACAATCCGTTCTCAAATCCAAATAAGTATTTACAGAAATGAACCGAGGAAAAGCGCGGGAAAACAACATAGTTATATTTAACATCAACGAGTGTGAACCTGATGAACCAGAGGTATAGAAGATAAGACCACTGTTGATACGTTATGCGATATAATGAAGACAGATAAGGAACATGTAACAACTATTCCAAGGCTGGTAAAAAGAACATCAAAGATGGAGACGGAAGGGGCCACTTAAGGTCGCATTCAAGGATCATCACAAAAAAGCAATGTTCATGGGGAATTTAAAAATCTATCGAAGGAAACGCGAGAGGGCACTAAAGGTCGCATTCAAGGATCATCACAAAAAAGCAATGTTCATGTGGAATTTAAAAATCTATCGAAGGAAACGCGAGAGGCCACTAAGGTCGCATTCAAGGATCAACACATAAAAGCAATGTTCATTGGAATTTAAAAATCTATCGAAAGAAACGCGAAAGGCCACTAAAGGTCGCATTCAAGGATCATCACAAAAAAGCAATGTTCATGTGGAATTTAAAAATCTATCGAAGGAAACACAAGAGGTCACACAAAGTCGCATTCAAGGATCAACACAAAAAAGCAATGTTCACGGGGAATTTAAAAATCTATCGAAGGAAACGCGAAAGGCCACTAAAGGTCGCATTCAAGGATCATAACAAAAAAGCAATATTCATGGGGAATTTAAAAATCTATCGAAGGAAACACAAGAGGCCACACAAAGTCGCATTCAAGCATCAACACAAAAAAGCAATGTTCACGGGGAATTTAAAAATATATCGTAGGAAACGCGAGAGGCCACTAAAGGTCGCATTCAAGGATCAACACATAAAAGCAATGTTCATTGGAATTTAAAAATCTATCGAAAGAAACGCGAAAGGCCACTAAAGGTCGCATTCAAGGATCAACATACAGAAGCAAATTTCATGGGAGTTTAAAAATCTTTCGAATAAAAAACACAAGAGGCCACACAAAGTCGCATTCAAGAATCAACACAAAAAAGCAATGTTCACGGGGAATTTAAAAATCTATTGAAGGAAACGCGAAAGGCCACTAAAGGTCGCATTCAAGGATCATCACGAAAAAGCAATGTTCATGGGGAATTTAAAAATCTAGCGAAGGAAACACGAGAGGCCACACAAAGTCGCATTCAAGGATCAACACAAAAAAGCAATGTTCACGGGGAATTTAAAAATTTATCGTAGGAAACGCGAGAAACCACTAAAGGTCGCATTCAAGGATCAACACATAAAAGCAATGTTCACGGGGAATTTAAAAATCTATCGAAGGAAACGCGAAAGGCCACTAAAGGACGCATTCAAGGATCATCACAAAAAAGCAATGTTCATGTGGAATTTAAAAATCTATCGAAGGAAACGCGAGAGGCCACTAAAGGTCGCATTCAAGGATCATCACAAAAAAAGCAATGTTCATGGGGAATTTAAAAATCTAGCGAAGGAAACCCGAGAGGCCACACAAAGTCGCATTCAAGGATCAACACAAAAAAGCAATGTTCATGGGGAATTTAAAAATCTATCGAAGGAAACACGAGAGGCCACACAAAGTCGCATTCAAGGATCAATACAAAAAAGCAATGTTCACGGGGAATTTAAAAATATATCGTAGGAAACGCGAGAAGCCACTAAAGGGCGCATTCAAGGATCAACACATAAAAGCAATGTTCATTGGAATTTAAAAATCTATCGAAAGAAACGCGAAAAGCCACTAAATGTCGCATTCAAGGATCAACATACAAAAGCAAATTTCATGGGAATTTAAAAATCTATCGAAGGAAACGCGAGAGGCCACTAAAGGTCGCATTCAAGGATCAACACATAAAAGCAATGTTCATGGGAATTTAAAAATCTATCGAAAGAAACGCGAAAGGCCACTAAATGTCGCATTCAAGGATCAACATACAAAAGCAAATTTCATAGGAATTTAAAAATCTATCGAAGGAAACGCGTGGGGACATTAAAAAAACAGTGTTACGCATGATATGACCCAAGGAGAGAGACAACTCCTTAGGGAGAGAGTTACAGAAGTGAAGTCGCGCAACGAAAACAAGCAATCGGGAGGATTCGAATACGTAGTTTGTGGTCCCTCATGGGACAATCGTATAGTAAAGGTGAAAAATATGCGAACAGCTTAGAGCTCAACAACGCTAAATGATGTTCTTCCAAAATCATTTTTTACCAATGTGGATCCACTTACTTCAAAACACATGTTTGAATTACGATTTATTGTTAACGAGGATAAACCAGCCATTACAGCCATTTCCGAAATTAAGCGGAAATATTTTAAAAGAGAAATTCAACTGTCAAAATACAATATAGAAGGTTATGACATGGTACCCCCAAATTATCTCGAAAGACTCTCCAGGACGAGATATGCTAATGTACACAAATGAATCGCTAAAGTACTCTCATATATCGTTTAGCAATGTTAAATTTAAGGAGCATATTATGTGTGAAGTTGAGATGAACGCCAAGAAAAAGATATAAGTCGGACCTTATACAGAAGCCCGAGCGCATCGGAAGATAATTTCAAACGTATGTGTCAACTGTTTCCGGAACTAACGAAAAGAAAAAGGCGTTTAAGTTGTTTTACGGAGATTTAATCTTCCCATGAATAAACTGGTCATTATATAACACGAAATCTAGTTAAGTTTCAAAAAGGTTTAGATTTTTATTAATAAAAATGCATTGTCAACAGTTAAAAGAAAGAGTAAAGTTTAGCAGATATCTAAAAACATTGTTTCAGGAAGTACACAAGGAATAATGTACAGTACGGAACCAAGTACGGACACTGACTAGGAAAGGAGTTAAAGTGCACGAGATGCAAATAGCGCAAAAAGTCAATGAAAAATACAAAGAAAATTTGGCGTTATGCAAAATCCAACGCCACCACAAAGGCAAAGAAAAGCTAATGTATTCGCTGACTTCTTTCAAACTGTATTTACCGGAGAAGCGAAGGAAACAATGCCGGATTGTAATAAACTGAACCTAGAGCCAATGACAACACTCCATATAAATCCGGAAAAATTGCGAAAAAAGCTTCTTCAATTAAAAACATTAAAATCGCCAAGACCAGATATGATTCACCCTAGAGTGCAATATTATATGTCATTCTCTTCAATCATATTGTACTGACAATGGATAGTTCAGTCATAACGCTTGCCTCAAATGCTAAATATCATAAAGTTCTTTGTTATACCTAGTGAAATTGTAACAAACAAATATTGCAAATATATTGTGCTTATGAATACCACAGAAGTACTTCAATATACAGATAATTCTATTGAGAAACCCCTTTTTTGATGAAGAAACTTTAAACAAATAACAAGCTTACACAACACACTTGGGGACACGTTCTTTAATGACCTTAGCTGTTAATAGGACGTAAAACAAAATGAAACCAAACCAAACCAAACCAAATGTCCTCCTATAATAGGAAAGGGCGTATATAGTGTTTTTAATGCCCGTCACGTCCTGCTTAATTGTCATGACTGCCGGTTTTATTACATTACATAATTTTATCAAATAATCTACGAATGTCATGCATAAAAATTCTTTGGAAGACTTCGTTTTTCAGGGTCATAAGGTCAACGCCATCGTAATTGTGTCTACCGACCGAAATGACATTTGTTTTCTTATGTTTCTTCCGTTTATTAAAAAACATTGCACCCATTAAATGAATGACTGGTAGTTTGTGGGGGGAAATAACACTTGTAGCTTATATAAGGGATATATAAGTATGAAGTTTGGAGTATATCACTAAACTTTAAGTGAAAACCTTAATGTGTGACGACCTCTTAGATACCGATAAGATGATATTAAAAGTGCGGTATTCATATACGTTATACTTGAGGAATCGCCACAGAAGGTTTCAAATGAATCAATTGTCGAATGCAGTGGAATTTGACGTTTGTTCGGAATATACATTGTCAGGTGTACGGCAATTAGCATGTTAACAGTACGGCGAATGGCTATACTAACATAACCATGTTTAGAGCGAGCAGTTATACCGTTGGAGCTACATACCAATGATGTTGCTTTGTAATTACACTTTCGAATCATATCGTAAGAGAAGGGACGGTAAGAAATGTCGAGTTAAATAGTGATACGGACTACCCATTTCTCACATGCTATAAAACAACTTAAGCTGTGACCATGACACTAGCGATAGAGAGTTGAAACTATAGCTGTGACCTTGACAAAAGCGATATAGAGTTGAAACTTTAGCTGTGACCTTGACAATAGGGTCAAGAGTTGGAACTTTAGCTGTGACCTTGACAATAGGTTGGAGAGTTGAAACTTTAGCTGTGATTTTGTCAATAGGTTGGAAAATTGGAACTTAGGCATAAGGTGAAATACTCTTTCCTTGTCACGACATGATACATACACCTATTAATGTTAAACTTAAATTTTAATGCTGACGTAGAGACAATCTGCACTAATACCTAGATTTGCGAATAAATAAACGATAGTTAAGTTGATGTATCCTCAATTTATCCACAGTTATCTGTGAACAGCAAAGTGGCAAAGGCAATGTATACCTTTAACAGGCTATGAGAAAAATCTGTTTCTGATTCGATCCATCCTACCCCAGATTTCTTAGCCTACTCCAACTGTATTTTCATTATCTTTTAATAAACACTTTTGAATTATGGTCTGAAACTTTGTTTTGTTTTTTAATTGTTACTTTTAAAAAACATATCTTGCAACACTATGTTTTTAGGGCTAAAACAGACAACCAGATATTTGTTTTGGCCTATCATTTTAGTCTACAGCACACTGGCTTACCTGTACAACTGTAGTGGGTGCATTGTGGTTTCTTGTAATCTTTGGTGTTATATCGTAATTGCTTAGTTCTAAAACGGCGCCTTGATCTTCGAAGTATCATCCTCTGCAACTCTCACTTGACGTTAATTTATTGGGTTTTATTACATTTTTACCAGTGAAATATTGAAAATTATCCATTCTATAAAAGTGATATTTTTCACGAGTGAAAAATATCACTTATGCTAATTTGACCAATCAGAATTGAGGATTTGCTTTGGTGCCCTCTATTTGGGGACACAAAAGCGACCAAAATAAATCTGCTGCGCCCATTACAATATTTGGGATCTTTATTTTTCTTTCTCTTCTAACTTCTTTTTATTTCCTAGCGCCTTGCTTGGCAACACCCCCCAATTGTGGCTTGACTGTTGAGCGTTTGCCAAGGTGAGGAAGACAATAGGTTCTGTCCCCCGGCTGGGACATACCAAAGTCCTTAAAAAATGGTCATTGTATTTTCCTGCTTAACTTTCAGAATTAAGGGGAATGGTAACAACTGGCTCACCCGTTGTCAGTATAATGTGACATGGCGGAATGTTGGGCTTAGTGCCTTCGGCATGGCATTTCAGTAAGATAGCACTCTAAATTCGGTATCAAATCCGCGCTATCACAGGGAGGCAAGTACACCAACATACCCTGCCTGCTGCATACACACATACGCAATATCGCATACACTACACGCATGGAGGCACGTCCTTAAATGACCTTAGCTGTAAATAGGACGTAAAACAAAATGAAACCGAACCCGAAACCGAAACCAATCAAAACACTGATCACAAACTACCATGGGAATTATTACAAGTGGTCCATCTGGTAAAAGCTTGGTTAGCTTAACGATACGCAGGCCTCGAGAAAATCCGTCCGATACATCATCCCTTTCTAATGTCCAGAAAAAAACATCTGTTACCTATCATGGGATAATTATACTCTGGGGGAAACACAACGTTTAATGCCATAGTTAAATATCTTTTTCATGAAAGCCAGCAGGCTATGCAGGTCAGCAATTCTAACTATTCGACCGGAGAAAACTCATGTCCAAAGATAGGCTAAGCGATTGGCATAAAGTGTGTAAAAGAATTTAATGATGAGATCTACATTTTATTAAAATATTTGCAGAGCTGACTACATTTTGTCGCGTAGGGTTTTCTAGACTAAGAAATGCTGGTAGTAATGGTATCCAGATCAAGTATTGTTAGCTTGATGTGCCGTTTTGCGTTCCCAGGAAGGTTTTTGTAAAAAAAAAAAAAAAAAAAAAAAAAAAAAAAAAAAAAAANAAGAATATACAACAGTATCTCCAGTAATACAAAACATGCACTCGTGTGGCTAATATCTGATATCTAACTATTAGCCACACTCGTGAAATATATTTGGTATTACTGAAAACACTGTTAGATATCCTCTATATATTGAGATAGAAAATGTCAATATATTATTAAACCAATGACATTAAAATGCATTGCCGAAGTTTCTTTAAATAGATAAAAACAAACAAGTTTGTCAGACTTATAACTCAGCATTTTTAATTTGGTTTTGATTTACAGCTTGCAACATATTCATTGGTATGCAGTGATTGCACTTAAACGGGTTTTTTACTTTCAAAGCCCTATATGCTTTGCATATTAAAACAACAAGCTATTTTCTAAACTAACGATACGGTTTAGTCAAATTCCTTTATTTTATAAGAAAATTGATTCAACAACACTTGCAAAGCGATTTTACATATGATATGTATAAGTCCACTGTATAATTCCACTGTATAATTCCACTGTATAAGTCCAATTCCACTGTATAATTCCACTGCTTAATTCCACTGTATAATTCCACTGTAGGTATTACAGAGCACAGAACGCTTCTCTCAGACGATCCGCAGTAGAGTTCCATATTGATATAGTCACACCTCGTTATTCTGCCACCATTTGAAATTTAAACGATATAAAGGGGTTTGGCGATATTTTGAAGGAAATGTATAAAGAATACACAAGAAAACGATAAAAAGGGATATGAGGTTTTACTGTTCTTGCATAACGTTAAAATTTGAAAAAAAACCAAGGGTGCATTCTATAGTAATATTTCTAAACAAAATCATACAAATAGACATAATTTGATATAACCATACCATATTTTACAAGGACTCGAGTAGATACTGCCGCGAGAGTGGAATTAGAAGAGTGGAAAAGAAACAAGCTGACTATTTTTAACAGTTTCCTTGAAACACATTGGCGGGATGACCCTTGACTCCTAGTCCTCTGACTCGAAACACCGAGCCAGCGGCGGGGAAATCCCTGATCTCCGCGTCCGTCGATCCTTCTCTACCACTAGTTACATAGAGCTCGTCCAGATTTGCCCCACCAAAACAACAGGACGTAACCCTTTTGCATGGTATTTCAACCTTTCTGAGAATTTTACCTACAAAATAAACGTGCATATGAATGTCAGCACAAAAAATAATAATAAAACGCAGTCAAGTATAATTCAATATTTTAGTTTGCGATTACACTTGACTAGCTTGCATAGGGATTTACCTTAATATTGACGGATATTACGGTAGTATGAACGCAGTTGGCAACGAGTATATTTTTTGGTGCGCGTTGCTTCTCCATAACGATTGTTTACCAACTGCGTTCATACCCCGTATACGCCGACAAAATGAAGGTCTATCCTTATATTTACACCCAAAAAATGCTACAATGCTACACTACGCATGACAGTCAGTCGAAGCGGGATGCTTGCTACGATGGTAACAACGGTACCGGTGGTTTCTAGGATAATATAGTGCCAGTCAATCTACATCGACACATGAGTAAATTAAGAGAATCCACAGTGAAAAACTTTACATTTTTGAATTATTTATTTATAACGGTCTTCATGTACGCGCATTGACACATTGATCAATTTATTGGAATGTGCCTAGATTAAATAAAGAGTTTGCAATAGTCCCGTTATTGTATGTTCCATGTATCAAATTGTTAAAAAACCAAGCAATGGTTGTCATCGGACTGCTATCTCGCTGAAGCGTGAACGGCGCCATATTTGAATCTAGAATCAATCTACGTCGTCAGAGTAAAAACCCGGGTTGTAAAACGAAAGCACAAGGCACACTTAAAAATAATAAGTAAGACATCAAAATTTATACCGCATAAAAAGAAAGATTATTTCACAATATGACTGCAATGGCGACTATAAGCCTACAACTTTGAATTACCAAATGTTGTTAGTATTGACCGTCAGTAGTCACGGAAGTCGTTGTTTTCGAAGCAAGCTCTAGAGGAAGCAGTGAAGTTCCTATCAAGAAAAGGGAAATTCACAATAGAAAAGTTAAAATCGTTCCCGTTATCAATCGTGTTAGTAGTAAGCCGTCCCTGTTATCATACATGTTAGTAGTAAACCAACCCTGTTATCGTACAAGTTAGTAGTAAGACGTCCCTGTTATCATACAAGTTAGAAGTAAGACGTCCCTGTTATCGTACAAGTTAGTAGTAAGACGTCTCTGTTATCGTACAAGTTAGAAGTAAGACGTCTCTGTTATCGTACAAGTTAGAAGTAAGCTGTCCCTGTTATCATACATTATGAAAATATTAGTATTAAAATTGTTTTTGTTTTGTTTTTGGAAACGCATTCCATCGCGGACTTGGAGAAAACTGGATATGGTATATTTCTGTTACAATGTAAAGTTTCCGTGACTACTTGTATACATGTATTGTCTCCTCGATTGGAGTTTTTGGCCAACGCTCTCACACCCTGCGAGTGTGTTAGGTTTTTTTCCTGGCCGAGCAAACAATCACACCCCAATATTGGCTTATCCCCGAACTTTATAACAATCTTTGTTACTCTTTTACCCATAGTCAAAATTATTTTATTTCGAAAACAAAATCAAATTGTATATATTTTTCATTTTTTTATTTCTTCAAATTTTATTTTATTTTCAAATTTTATGATTTTTTTCGATGGCGGCCATTTTGCACCTCATTTTGAGTTGGCGGCCGTTTTGCACCTCATGGCGGCCATTTTGCACCTCATTTGGGTTGACACGTGTCACCAGAATGAGGTGCATGCACCTCATGGCGGCCATTTTGCATCTCATTTTGAGTCTCAAATGTGACATCTATATACTACTCGCTCGTCTTCACCAAGATGGCCGGATTCAATCCCGGTTACCTGCCCGACCACGCGGGTTTTCTCCGGATACTCCGGCTTCCTCCCTCATTAAGAATTAAATCCTCTATGTGCTTCCATCAGGTCACAAAAATAATGATTGAAATAAAATGGGAAAAAACTGATTGATAATTGCTTTTGAAAAAAGTGTATATTACATAACTGACGATAAGTCTATAAAAGTAAATGTATAGAGATGTTAGTTAAAAAAATGAAATTAAAAAAAGAAAACATTGTAATACTTTGATGTAACTGAGATTTTCGTTATATCGATATTTAGAATTCCTGTTCCATCCTGAAACACCGGATTGAATTTCAAATTTTGTAACTGTCACTGAGGATTGACAGGTAATGATGCCAAATAAAATTAAACAGTTTCTGTCTGTTATTAGTTATAAATCGGCATGCGTTGTGAAAAAGTAATACGTTGCTGAATAGGGGCGTTGATTGTTGATTTCGACATTAATGAATTATTCATCGTTTCTTTTATGAGTGGTGATGCATACATAAATTATGTAAAGACTATAACCAGACTTTCAGAAATGTTAATTATTTCGTTCATATCCTCAAAAAATGGAAATCAAAAGCTGATGAAATTTTAGACGATGAAAAATAAATGTACACGTTGACCTATTGGTTTAATGCGGCTCTTTTTGAAAATATCTCCCGGTAGAAATACTAACAGAACCTGGTTGATGACAAAAAGGATCTTCAGAAAACATCTGCGTTTTTACTTTTTGTGCCTGTTGCAAAAACTGAAATTAAGAAATCATGAAGCACCGACATTGAGATAATTGCAACAGCCATTAGTTCAAAGATTTTCCGGTTAATTTTCATCCTTCCGGAAATAACCGACGAAGGCCGATAGAGTGTGACGTTATAGTATGATAATCTCTGAACGACGTTTCATTCCTGCTAGTATCAAAATGTATATGATCGATATTTTTCACTCAGAATGTATATTAGTTAAAATCAAAGGCAAGGTGTAGCAAGGGGAAGCAACTCTGTTTACGCACGCATGTGTTACCATTAAAGAGCTTCGCTCGGATTATTAAACGCGGGAGATCTCTCGTGTTGGCAATTTAAGCAATATGATTGGCTAGCACTTTCTATAGAATGAGAGCCGGGAGATTCGAAGGCTCAGTGTCATTTTGACCTCAGAGCGAAACCAGGCTAAGCAGAGAAACCAGGCTAATCAGGCGGCTGATCGTGATACCTGTTAAATAGCAGAGATTGAGAAGGAGTAGAGGGCTGGTGTTAAGGTATTAGGAGAGAAATACTAGGAGATCACTAGGATAATTAGAATAAATATGTAGCAGTTATATTAGGAGATAGGCGAGGAGAAACGTACTATGATGTCATTATGAGATTACTAGGAGTAAAGGAGAAATGTACTAGGAGAAATGTACTAGGTGTAATTCAGGTGAAATGTACTAGGTGTAATTCAGATGAAATGTACTAGGTGTAATTCAGATGAAATGTACTAGGTGTAATTCAGATGAAATGTACTAGGTGTAATTTAGGAGAAATGTACTAGGTGCAATTCAGGTGAAATGTACTAGGTGTAATTCAGATGAAATGTACTAGGTGTAATTCAGATGAAATGTACTAGGTGTAATTCAGATGAAATGTACTAGGTGTAATTCAGGTGGAATGTACTAGGTGTAATTTAGGAGAAATGTACTAGGTGCAATTTAGGAGAAATGTACTAGGTGTAATTTAGGAGAAATGTACTAGGTGCAATTCAGGTGAAATGTACTAGGTGTAATTCAGGTGAAATGTACTACGTGTAATTTAGGAGAAATGTACTAGGTGCAATTTAGGAGAAATGTACTAGATGCAATTTAGGAGAAATGTATTAGGAACAAAAATACTACGTGCAGCTAAATAGTTTATAAGGGAATCTTTAACAACAGATATGAGGTAGTTTCTGTCTGAAGCATGCATTAAAGAGATACAACTATTTTGTTTATATTCAACAACCTGCTCATTTATTTATAATCACATTGTCAATTAGTCAAAGAGAGACAACTTATCTCAACATTGTACAGGTAACCACTAGGGCTGCTGTGGGGTGTACTTTTATATTGTTTACTTGTCACTTAAATGTCTACAAAAAAAAATCCACTTTAACCTGATTTCTTTGTTGAGTCATTCTTGAAGAATTTGCCACAAGCCAACAATCAGACGGATCTGTTTTTAAATTATACAATGCATCGTCAGGAAAGATACTCGGCCGGACGGCAGACTGCTTAGAGTCTTGAGTACCTGACAATCGGGCATTGCACTTGTAACCTTAAAAGTGATCTAAAATAAAGATAGAGGCAAAATATCTGTATCTACAAGTCATTCAAAAGAACAAAGCTTTTTTTTATAAATTTGAGCAAATGTGACCTTGAAAGTCCAACAAAGTCATGACATTGAACAGACTTTATAACCCTTTATATGACCAGGTATACAAATCAAGATCAGGTGGCAAAACAATACAATTCTACTACGAAGGGCGATGTTTATGAGAATATTGTTCAAATTCTGGTTTTTAATACTTTGTAATTGTGACAAAGAGTCAACACAAATTGTTAATTTTATTATTTTCAATTTCATCCAAAGCCAGACCAACATCAATAGCTTCAGCTGTAACAACAGATGCATTATTTGGTAATCGGCAGGAAAAAGATACGTTGCCAACAACACATGCTGCTGCAACGTTTTCTTCTATTTTAGAGCAGTCCGTATATAAACGAACTCGGAAAAAGCGCTCTTGTATATTGAACCGGGAGAGTGCGAGATTTTTCATTATTGTGTAATTCTAAATGTACTTAGTCGTATTGTCCATGCTGGAATATCTGGTATTATAGCAATTTCGATTAAAGATAGGTCTGAATCCGAATTTTCCAGGAATTTCTGAAGTTGTAATCCATAAGAAAAATCAAATGTCTCATTTCGATCGAAAAGCTGAGTATACTTTGGATAAAATACTGATTGGAAAGCTAGGTTTTCTGGATTTGATTTAAACTGGTAAGCAAACTGTAGACATACTTTTGTTCTTTTATCACTAAGTGACGGTTCATTTGCTTCATCAAAGAGACTCGCATCTGGTGATTTGCGAAAAGCACCTAAAACGAGACGAAGCCCCTGATGAGGAACTAGGTCAAGCATCTGAAAATATGACTTGCGGGCTGACCTATATATAACGGAACCATAGTCACCCTTTGAACGAACAAGTGGGCGATATAGACACAGCAGTACATCAC